TTAAGTCTAAAGAAAAGGCTGCTGTGACCTTTGTGTATGAACAAGAAGGTGGTATACCTCTATGGACTCTTAAATCCAACCCTACATCCCTTAATTTAGAATTTGAAAAGTCTGTCTGTATATCCATCAAAGACGGTATGACGTTTCCTAACAATGGTAATACATTCAAATAAAAATATCAGTAATATTCTTCAAAGTCTATACTAGAAAGCCTTTTCTCAAACATCATTGGTGCTTTTTTAAATGCACTAATACATAAAAACATCATTATATCACAGCAAGCATAAGCAAAAGCAAATACCAATGGATTAACTTCCAGGAAAGAGATGAAAACTATTTAAAGTTTAACCTTTACAATCTGTCAAATTAATCATGCCCTGACACTGTCCACAACTATAAACCAACCACCACAGAACTTCATAGTCTGTTTAATTGGATACAGATGTTGTGTATAGTTTAATGAAAAAAAGTGATGAAAATGCTTCATGTTTTCCCCTTAGACCTCATACCACATCTCCCCATATATGTCCCAGCTCCAGGCACCTATTAAGAACAACCATATTCCAGAAAGGTCATGGAATAACTGCACTTCTAACGTACAGAAAGCATGATATACTGCAAGCCATTATGAATGTTTCATTGGCGCAGGAAATCAATCCATTTGAAAGGCTCTCTTGGGCAGGGATTAAGGACAAAGAAGCGGAGACAGAATAAAAGCCAGGTGAGTTTGGTGTGCGGACGCTAACCTCTGGCAGAGCGCGGCCTTGTCGGTATCTGAGATTGGCAATCTCCTTGGAAAACCAACAGAAAAGAGGAACAAAGAGAGAGAGGCAGTGCTCCTCATCCTGAAGTCAAGGCCCATAGCGCCTGTCAGTACCAGTTGAACTGCTGCATCTTTTATGAGGAAAGCCCTGTTGCTTATTACAATATTTACAGACGTTTAAAGATTGCGAAGCCAGTGCTGTTACTGCATTAGATTGGCTCGGTGGCCTTCGCTCACTAGCCCTGACAGAAGATTTTATTCTAGATTTGTTCAATCGAATCACTGCACACAGCAAGGAGACTTGTTTTTTCCTTTGTCGGTGTTCACATATGGAATAAAGTCCTTCTTGAAACAATAATAAAACTGTTTTATACAATAATCAACCACACAACTGGCTTATTAACTAAAAGCCTATAGGCTCCACTGCTGTCTGTTACAGTAAATCAGTAATATCATCACAGAGTGTTGTGTATGTAGCGTCCATGTCACTTCTACAGCTCTGTTTATAGTCTGTAAGTGAATTTATCCCATCTGTTTCCCCATGGGAGATGCCGTCCTACAGCAGTGTGGTGACCATAAGGCACACACAATATGGAGACGTGTAGATGTGCTTCGACTTCCATCATGTCAAAGATGAGAGAGAGGCTTCTACAAACCAGAGCTGAGTTGCATCAATGCTGCTGCCTTGCAGGTATTGTTTCAAATATAAAAACGTCAGTCTCCTATTCATACCATAACATTTTGTTTTTATGAATTCCAGCTATTCCTGTTTCCTTCATTTTCTTTTTTTATTGGGAGGGCAACCCACCGAGGAATGCTATCCATCAGACTTGCTCAGAGAGAGAAAAAAATACAAACTTGAATAAATATTTAATTAGATTATTCTGTGATTTAATGTGCTTCTGCTTGGCTGGGGTCTACGGCAATATATTTGGTCCATTTATAAATGCATTAACACACTGACACCCGAGACTAGTTTAATATTGATACCGGGGCTGAGTTGGCGGCGGATTGAAGTAGTGTAGGGACTGTGTTGTCTGTTCATCTGTCTGCTGTGCTGAATCACACCTGTAGAAAAAAGTATTTTATTCCTTCTCCTTCCGTCTCGTTTGAGCTCATGTTTCTTCACTGCACGATGAAAGGTTAGTCAGTCTCAACCGAACTCACATGATAAAATCTGTCCAGCATTACACACAAATCTACACTGGAACAGATCCAGCATTATTCTGAGTGATTTGCATATACATCCACTTTGCCAAAGCAAGACTATTTATTTGATCACAAAAATGAACAAGAAAAGAAAATCCTTCCACAAACTGACATGGAAATTTGACCAGTAGTTTTCCCATAATCCCGCTGACAAATAAACCAAACCAAAAACATAACCTCCTTGTTGGAGGTTATGATAATAATATAGATTAAAGCCTTGTTATTGCATATATGCATGTGCCTAAGTGTCCAATTGTGTATTTTGCAGGCACTATAAGTGGAAGCTAATTAGTGCCAAAGGGAGAAGTTTTCACAGCCTGTGATAAATTCAACATCAGGAAATCCTCTACCTATTAATACCAATTGGGCGACAATAATTGGCAGGCCATCGACAGCGCGGGCAGAATTAATCATTTCAACAGGCAGACTAGACTGAATTTTTAATTGGCAGAGGCAGCCACTGTTTAGGGAGGCAACCAGCTGATCACCCAGGAGACTGCTGCTTCAGACAATGCACATTTGCTAATCCTCTTGAGTCGAGTTATTATGGCCATGCATTATTATCACGCTTTACAAACTAATTCCATGTTTTCCCTCATGGATTACCAAGGGGAAAAATAGTTGCATAAGAAAAGAAAGAAATAACAAACAAAAAAAGGGCAACGTGGATGAATGTCAAATCAAAATGACAGAATAAGTGCAATGACTACGAATGCACAACACTCAGAATGGTGTGTGTGTGTGTTTTGCATGGATTCATTACATTGTAAGCCATTTCATTCGATTGAACCTTGAACCCTTAAAATTGTAATTCATTTGGTGTTCTAAAAATAACTATACAATTATAATTATCAACTCAGGTAAGAGAGATGAGCACCTTGACCTGTAAAAACAAGCTAACATATAAGATGTTTTGTTTGTTAATTTAAGGGAATAAACAGTTAAAAGAAAATTGCCTTTTCCTTAACACCTATTGGGCGACAATCATCAAGAGCTATATAGTGCAATCTTTATGCAACACTGACATTTTAGTACATGCATGCACACACAAATAGATACCGAAGAATGCCAAATGAGTGCTACACTGAAGAGATGTCTTCCCTTCTATGAATTTCAACTGTATGAAGTGTTAGCAATACTGCAAGTTGCTTTATAAAATATGTTGCTAATAGAAGCTACGACAACACAATCTAATGGTGCATCGAGCATGAAAACTTTATAAACATTCAATACATCCAAATGTCACTGACATTTTGCAAGATAGCAAATATTTTAGATCAACTGCAACATCAAATATATAAATCTTTGCATAATTAGCTAAATGTTGCCTTTCCTTTGTTTCTGTGTCTTTATTATCACTTACCCTAACTGTACTTTTTTTTTTTTTTAAATGTGTATAATTGTGTCTTTCCTAGGATGTCAATCATATGAATTAACAGAAAAAACTAATATTTAAGTCTTTTTTTGCTGCCGCCTCAAAACATGGGCTTTGTGACAGTTGTGGTCAACCTTTGTAATGGTAACAGATGTAATATGTATTTTCATGGTGATTGTATATATCATAGAAGACATTATTTGCAAATGGCATTTACATTACCGCCACAGATTGTCATTTGTCTTTTCTAAATGTCACTGCAATAAAAGGCTTATCTCCTGTACATCCCTCACATATCAACATCTGCTCTGTAGGAACGCAAGATGGGGAAATAATTTAGAAACAGGCTTATTTTATATATATTTGTACTAATACTGCAACCAAAGGATGATCATGTTTTTGGTCTGTGACATGCATTGGACAGTATTAAAAACACAAATATTAATGCACATTTTAAATCATAAAAAAGTGTGACAAACGCTGTTTTGGACAGTGTTTTTTTCTCTTTGAATGATTGGTTTTGTTTCTTTGTTTGCTTGTGATTTTTGACAAAATGATTGTCAGTTTGTGTCTCGGAAATGTATTGCCCTTGGTTGATTGCATTCAAAATAGTTATGATTCTGCCACCAGGGAAGCATAAATGTCATGCAAACAAAAAACTAAAAGTTGGTTGAAACTGGTGATGGATGACGATGATGATGATGATGATGATGATGATGATGATGATGATGATGATGATGATGATGATGATGATGATGATGATGATGATGATGATGATGATGATGATGATGATGATGATGATGACGTCTGTGGGATCCACAGTAAGGGGGGGGTGGGGGCTAAGATATTGTGAAATGTTTTTAACCCCACCCAGGCTGAGATCTATACGCCACACACCCTCAGCAACTTCATTATGGAAGGTGGAAGTTGTCAGTGTGTGAGCTGAGCGGATTTACAGCCTCAAGCCAGCAGAAGCAGCATCTCTGCACACCCTGCGTCCGTCATCTTGTGACAGTTCTTGCGCCCTTTAGAGACATTGTGGTTTTGAACTGATTTCGCTGGGTCGGGTATGCACCAGGTCCCAGCCCCATTCTCACATGGGGAGAGATGTTAAAGAAAGCATGGGATGAATAAATGATGCCGCCCCTCCGCGAAAAGACTGGCAAGGCAAGGCTCTTTAAAAATGCATCCTTTCCAAGCGCCTCTGCCCCACTTAAGAGCGTGTTAGGAAAATAGCAATGAAATTCAGAACATGGCCAACAGAGTTAGTCACCCTATCATTTTTGACACTGCAAGCCCTGATAATAGGCCTATTTGTAAATCTCCCATTTATTTTCTGTGTAGCCTAATCAAAAATGTGGATATTTTTTAAATGCAGAAATAAAAATGATCTAAAATATTAGATTAAACTAACTTTATAAAGGAATCATATCTGGGACAAAATAACACACCTCGTGAATGTTAGATGAAATGATGAATTGTTAAGAATAGTAGACTGATATCATATCTGGATCAAATGAAAGAAAGTGACAAATACACACGTTGTTCTCGTTACTGTTTCAACACAAATGAGTTCAAGAGGTGAAAGAAATAATAAGCAGTTATACAGTGTTATATGGGCCTCGCAGCGATTTAAAGGGGGCGACACGTTACCTTTGTGCATGCCGGTGTATCGGTCCTTGAGGACTGTCAGTTCGTGGATTTTCCCAAACTGTTCAAACAGGGGTTTCAGGTCTTTTTCCTCCAAGTTCCGCGGTATCTGCCCGATAAACAGCTTAATGGCATCTTGGTCTTTCATGTTGCCGTTCTCCGGATGAATGGAAATGGGTTCTGTCCCGTTCATGGGTTTCGGAAATGTGATCTGAGGGTACTGGTGCTGATGTGGGATAAGGAGCAGTGGTTGCTGGATCGGTGGTACCCCCGGTCCGGTGAAAACCAGGCTGGAGTGAGCGGGCTGGGGCTGCTGTGGATGGTGCTGCCTTCTTGTTTCAGTCTGAGTGAATCTGGCCATTCTGAGCTGGGAGCAGAGTGGATAATAATGACAACACACACACATACACACTGTGAGAGAGCAAGCACTCAGCTGGAAACCAGGCTGACTTTCTATCCGAGACAAAACACACACGCACACACTGTAAAGGCAGGCGGAGGGGGCGGTGGCGGAATGAGCACACAGGAGCGATATGAGACGCTCTGCAGCGACACCCAGCGTCACCTGTCAGCTACTGCAGCTGAGGAGAGGCAAATTCTGTTGACCGATTTTCTAGACATGACTGAGCATGTTTGTAAAACACTTTCCTTACAGTGGGGCAAGAAGCTACATGTATACTGCAAATCATTTTCTTTAGTAAAGGTAGAAAAACAAGTGAAAATATTCATTTGGCAGACATTTTTACTTGCAGGAAAAGCACAGACGTTACTAATACAATTTACAATGGCTCCTTTCTGTTACCCAGTAGGCCTATATGACAGCCATCATTCAGTATGTTGATTACACATGTTAGTTGTCAAATATCTTCCATGAAAAGGTCTAGTAAAAGTAAAAGCCCTTATTTAAAATCTTTACTTGAAGTAAACAAGTGTTGGCAAAGTTAAATGCTGATGTGTAGTAAAGTTAAAAACGTAAAAGTTACTGCGCTGGTTAGGTACCTTGTAAGATACATTAAAGGTGGGGTAGGTACGTTTGAGAAACCGGCTCGAGCATGGCCGTATCTACCAGCGACGTGCAGTCAGGGGAGGCAGGGGAGGCAGAGCCTCACCTGTCATACTCCAATGTAACGGAAAAACAACTAAAGAAAAACTAAATAGTAATAATAATAAAATGTCTCCACTGATCTGTGTTGTAAATGTGATTTATGTATGATTCCAATCGCTTTTTATAGTCAAAATCAGCAAATTTGCAGAGCTCCTCCGCTACAACTACGGGTAGCGATGAGAAGTGAGGCAGGGACGAGCTCTGCCTCACGTAAGCCCACAGTAACTGGCTGGAGCGCGGGCACTAATTTAACGCGGGCACTTATTTTGTGAGCGCGCTCAAGCCAGTTACTGTGTGGTGAGGTGAGGCACAGATGAGATCTGCCTCACCTCAGAATGCGTCACCCCACAGAAACTGTCTGGAAAGCGGGCCCTAAGCGCATGCCTGCACCATCTCACTGTATGTCACCAATGTAATGTTTGTAGATCCCTTTATTACATTTATCCTCGCCATCCATAGTCTCTAAATAACTTATTTCACGTATATATGATATTTAGGCTCGCTGGTCTCATCATACAACGGCAATGAAAAAAGCACCAGGGGAGGCAGCCATAACCTCTGCCGCACTGAAGGGGGCCCAAGGGAGCCCACAGGTTCTTGTTGCTACTGTTATTCTACGTAGAGACGGGGTAGACCAGGGGTAGGCAAGTAAGTTTGGCCGTGGGCCAATTTTTTGCTGAGCCGCAAGATGGCGGGCCAGAACATAATCAAAGCCTAATTCAAGGAATTGATTTTGGTAAGAGGGCGCAGCGCCCCTGTTCGCCCAATCCAGAGCCTTTGGCTAGACCCGCCCAAAGGGAGGCTCGTCCTCTTTAGCCCCATTTCAGTCCCAAAGCCAGGGCTATTATCTGTATTTTAACAGACTTATCTTTTAAATTGAGGTGTATTTATTGTTCTCTTCAAAGTTTATTTTTCTCTGAAATTGTAGGGAGGATGGTCCTCCCTTTCCTCAATGAATGAGCCTCCACTGAGTAGAGTTATTAACTAGGTAGCAGTGTTATTTAACATACTTTTATTCTGATAAGTATTGTCAAGTTCTCTGGGTTTTTGGCATTTATTTGAGTGTTTGCCCATTTGAGAGGCTTGAGGGGCAAAGGGGACGCATGGACAACTGGAATCCTTTTTCCTTTTCTTTATTTCAACTTTTCAAGGACACATTAGGATTCTTTCAGGTTGAAAACCTTTAAAAAATATCAAAGGACAAAATAAATCAATTACAGCAGTTTTGCTTTGCAATTTAATATATTATAACCTAAATTAATCAATAACCAAGTATTTTACTCAAACTCAATGTATTTAATAGTTAAATAAGTACTTTAATTGACCTGGTTCCCCCCAACCACACATTTGCCATATATGACCCGCTCTATCGAAATCAGTCGGAAGTCGCAACGGCTCATTTCAAAATAAACGTGGATTTGCGTAAAAAAATAGTTTTTCGGGGATCGGGTGTTTTGTTTGATTTTAAATAAACAAAGTCTTGGCTTTCAGAATATGGAACTTTTATTTCCAAAATCACACGATAAATACATGTTTGAAGCTTGTAAAGGGAAGATGACAGCTCTCCCTCGCCACTCTGCTCTTCCACAGCGCCGCTTCCCCTCCCTCCGCTGACATTATGAATGTAAGCTGATATTTCGGGACAGAATTTATTTTACCGGACAAATTTGAAACTTACCGGTCATGTTTCAATAATAATAATAAGAGTTGTGTAGCAGAGTTTCCGTTAGCAGGTAATCACCGGACTAGGACCGGATATGCTGATGTTTAAAACTCAGTTAATGGGAGTCATTTTTATATTGCTTCAGTTTATAATCGTTACAGATCAAAAAATTCAGATTCATTTTTCAATAAATGATTCCACAAACAACAAACAACATAATTATTACATTCAAACAAACTACTTGTAGTAGATGAAGTACATTATTCAAAAGTTTACATTAACTTTGAATAATAACACGGGAGAAACGGATCCTCTCTCCCTCCCTCTCTCTCCTGACAGCACGTTAGTTTCTCATGCAGCTCGCTAAACAGTGGGCGGGGCTTCAGGTGATTATACAGGGCTGCTTGTCTCCGTCAGACTCAGCAGCTGATCTGATCTCTCTCTCTCGCGTCCGGTTATATTATACTTCACTCGCGTTTATGTCCATATCGATCAGATCCAGCTCTCCTGATCGGCCTTTTTAGAGAGCACTGATCAAACTATTAAGAGTGAATATCGGCCGATAATGACCGGCGGCCGATCGATCGGCCGCTAACGGAAACCCTGATGTGCGACTGTCGGTCCTATGTTGTAAAAAAAAAAAAAAAAATCTCAAAATAATATTTTATTTTTGATTCTCAAAATTACGGGCCAAATATTATTGCTGGCGGGCCAACAATGGCCCGCGGGCCGCCTGTTGCCGACCCATGGGGTAGACCATGGCGGTAGACGCGACGCAAACAACAAACTAGACTTTTGAAACTAGAGGAAGATAAGGAGGGCTTTTACAAAAAAGTAATAGAGATTGTTGTCCAGAAGGATAGCATGGACTTCATCTTCAAGTCAAGGTAAGACCCCAATTGTAATGAAAATGGGATCATACTAAGAAAGAACAATCCAATATTTAGATTGTGGGTATCCTTTTGTTGAACGGTCTGTTTAAAATGAATCGAAGCATCAGACTAAAAAAGCTTTTGAAAATAACCGAATATGTCAATTATGGTCAAAATATGATATTTGTAAATCTGACTCTGAAAGAGTCAGTGCCTCACCAGCCATGAACCTCACCGCACGTCACTGGTATCTACCATTGAGGTCACCGAGGTCCGGACCTCGGTAATTTTTTTAGAGCTGTGTATAACAAAACCTGTGAAATAATTGCACTAAACGGGGTTCTTTGTAGTACTTCCATTTACTGACGATAGGGGCGCTGCATAACTACGTAGCCTCGATTAAAGTAAACAGAAGAAGACGACATGATATCATACTGAATACATATTTACTGTGAATGTGTGCAAAAATGTATGGCATGTAGCTGTCTAACAGAAGTTAAATTCATTTCTCACTTTTTCTGACAATGTACTTAACCCCAAATAAAAGAACCCAATAAAAATAGTTGTTAAATAATAGTGAAGTCACGTTGTAATAACAATAACTCATCTCTCTCGAGTTTTCCTTTTGAGCTTTGCCAAAAGCCACTGTGTCAATGTTGTCCTACTTGGGATGCCATCCGGAGTTGTCCAATATGGCGGACCATCTCGCACATGCACACTGCAGATCGGGTAGTGACAGTATCAACACACCACCGCAGACCGGACTTGTATCGGAGCAGCGAAGGAGTGATGAAGTATCTAGAGATCTGAGTCCAGTGGGCTGCTTGTGTTCCTGTTCATCAGGACATCATATGACCAGCAGATCCTGTGTGAACGCTCTACATTAGTCAGTGGACGTCCGACAACATGCACACTAACTTATATTGCAGCTATAGGCTATACTTTGGTTTAAATTGCATGAATAAACTAGCTAGAGAGCTAAAGTTAATTACATTCATCCAATGTCAGAAGGATTACCTTTTAACAAACGTTGTAATGCTTTTCTTTCATTTCAATTTGAGTAAAACATTGAAGGTATAACATTGCATTGTTTTCTTTTTACACTGACTCATAATGAAAAGACTACGTCAGTCGAAGCTCAGCTTTGGTAAGGAAGAGACAGGACAGGCAGAGAGAGAGAGAGAAAGTGATGGAAGTCAGGGAGGAACTGCAGGTACAGTCGGACAGAAGAATGTAGGCGTAATATCCCCATCTATCTATCTATCTATATTCTATAACAATAGTCTTCATTTACAATAGGCATACTTTTTAAACAACATACATCTATTGCAGTTATGATGTCATAATAACATACAATTGTATAAAACACAATTTGCTTACATTTTTGTTCTCTTTTGAGAATCAAACAAACTGATTTAAATAAAAAAAATAATGCAAACAAACAAGTGAAATGAACTAAATGGCTAAATGGCTAAATTGCTCACTGGCAGGAGCGACAAGTGAGGAGGAGCAACAAGTGAACAACGAGGGAGAGATTGAACAAAGACAAAGAGTAGAGGACAGAGAGAGTAATGAACAGGAAGAAGACAGGGAGACTAAAGACGATGGAAGAGAGGCTGCAGGTTATGGAAAGCAGAGAGACATGGAAAATGAATGTTGACAATGTGTTGTGATCATTTTAGCCTCTTCTGCATGTCCAGATCATTAATAGTAACAATCAACTGATTCTTATTATGTATTACACTTTCAAAAATAATTTATGCTGACATTGTCAGCCCACTGACATGGTTTGAAATCAA